CTCAGTGGCGCGCGCCCCGGGGGGGGGGGGGGGGGGAGTAACCCGTGACATTTGCCATTGGTTCTCTGGCTTGTCAACCAGGAAAAGCCTTTAAAAAGTAATACAAAACCAAAAAAGTATTAAGCATTGGACGGTATGGAAAGAACATCCCATAGGAGAGCATTGTGGTACTGCAAGTTTAGGGTTTGGTCTGCCACCATTGACGTTAATAGGAATTTAGCCATTGATTTCAATAAGAGTTGGATCAACCTCTCAACAAATGTTCCACTTACATACCTTTCTTTTTAGTTTCAGGAATAGCTCTCTTCTCTTGGGTAACTTTCTTTTCATCCTCTGTTCCTAAGCAAAGATTTAAAAGAAGTTCACTTGACTTTTTATATCTTACTAAAGAACTTTGACTCACATTTTATAAAGCAACTAGCACAGTTACCTGGCATTGCTCAAGTTGTTAAAGAGGGGCTCAGGGCAGGCAGGAGCTCATTGCCTGGGTGCTCAAGGTTAGCCATACTGCCTGGCCGGATGCTCACCAGCACAGGAAATTCACCCCTGTACAGTTGCTGGCAATATCCAGATCCCTGCCCCCAGTTTGCCACTCTCTTATTGGTGCACCCGTCCCCTTGTGGTGATTCTGCACTGTAACTGTGTCTGATAGTAGCAGACTCCTCCCTTCGTGTTTTATAAGTTACAATCATATTCCAGGCACATCCCATTGCCTTAGCACAACAAACCCTTCCCTTGCTGTAAGTTATGAGAAGAGAAAGGTGCATATCAAATGTGATGGTTCTAGTTCTTACTGTTTAGGAGGAGCTCTTGAACAAACAGCCTCACAGACAGATGGGCAGACAGACACACAGACTCTCTCAAATATATAGTACAGTTTGCATCTCCCAAATCCGGGATTCTCTCATATGGCAACATCCATGGTCAGGCATAACCACTGATGTTCTTGGATAAGAATGCCCTGGGGCAGGCAGGCCATCAGCTGAGAGCCTGGTGCAGCCCCACGAGTCTGCTAGCAGACTTGGCAGAGTGCGATCAGAGCTGTCTGCCACCCAGCAGTGGGGCTGGGACGCAGCATTCCAAGAGAGGAAGCCTGGCCGGGCCATGTCAGCCTGGGAGGCAACGGGGCCACAGCAGCCCAGGCGGCAGTGGCAGCAGTATGATTGGAGCAGTATGATTGGACGGGAAATCCAGCTGTGGTTGCTCTGCAGAATCAGGGTGCCAGGGCCATGTGCTGTCCCGCACCGGGGTTGGGGCTGCGGCAGTCCAATCGGGCAATGTGCTGTTCGGTAGTGGGCCTGGAGCTGCCTAGGTGGCTGGCAGTGGAGTTGGGGCTGGGGTTGGCCCTAGCAGGGCTGAAGAAGCTGACAGGGAGGAGGGGCAGCAGTCTGAGAGGCTGGTGTCAGGGGACCTCCCATTGTCCAGCAAATTCCCACATTTGGGACCGGTCGGGTCCCAAGGGTGCCAGACAAGAGAGGTCCAACCTGTAGATAAGGAAAGAGATCCAAAAAAAAGGTCCAATACATAAACAGAGAGTAAGGGTGAAAAGACAAAACAGCTGTAGGTTGTCTGTCCAGACGTGTTTTATCTCTGTGACACCAAGACTATTAAACCATGACTACTTGTGACAGATTGTACTGGGCCAAACCGGGCCTTTGGGTAGATCAAACTGTTTCAGAAAGTGGACATTCCTTCTGTGATACTTTTACTAAACCTGCCCAGCTTTGTCCAACTCAAGTATGCTTTGGAGGATTTGCCATCACAATGCAAAGAAAATGTACATCTGGAGATCAATCCATGCAATGCAGAAGACATGCAATTTTAGACCAATTAATAGTTCATTAAAAACATGACAGTCATCCCCGCAAATATATAAACATACCGCATACTTCAGTGAGTCCACATAAAGCAGAGGATAGAACTGGAGCCAGTGTGTGCACTAGATAATTATTTAAGAAACAAGCCCTTTTTCAATCCATTATATCGATGAACATATATAACTACGATTTTTCCAGGGATATAGTAACTCTGCATTTGTTCTAACTTAGTGTTTCCCTTATGAAACCTGACTGACAATAGAAAAACTCTCAAGAGATACTCAGCAATAAGCACAGAATCCCATGAAAAGCCTTTATAAATAATATACCTTCATAACATTTTTATGATTGGACCTTTAAAACTGTCATTACAAGATATCTGCTATTCGTGGTGAATTGCAGTTAAACCATTTGTCTGCTAAAGAACACTACTATCTTTTAAATGTATTTGCCTTTATTTGATGGATTCCCTGGGCAACAGTGGAAATTAACCTTTTGTTTTATGAAGGCCACAACAATTTAATTACTTATTGCATGAGTGTTATTAATTGGTAGAATAGAATTAGGTATGAGAAATCAGAAAACTCATATACTGTCTTGTTTCACTCCCTTTGCTAGGAAATGAATCCCCATTAAATGCTAGTAAAATAACAGTATCAGCATTTGCCCTTTCTATTGTCCACCTCATAACCTTCCAGGTTTTCCCTTTCAAATTGTATACAGGCAGTCCCCAACTTACGTAGGATCCGCACTTACGAACGGGGCTTTCTCGCCCCGGAGCTCGCAGGCAGCGGGACCGCCCAGAGCGCAGCGGTTCCGCCACCTTGACCTCCGGGACAAGAAAAGCTGCTCCAGGTGCCCCTGGTCTGCTGGGGACCGTCTCCAGCAGACGAGGGACACGGGGAGCAAAGAGGCGCGGGACCCCTCCGCCTCCCCGGCTTTGCTCCCGGTTTCCCTGGTCTGCTGGGGACCATCTCCAGCAGACCGGGGACACCCGGAGCAAAGCCTCAGAGGCGCGGCACCCCGCCACCGCTGCGGCTTTGCTCCCGGTCTCCCTGGTCTGCTGGGGGGAGAGGCGCAGCTAGTGCGGGCCCCCCCCCCCACCAC